TTGGGTTGTATAAAAAATAGGATTCGAAAAAGCAGGTAAATTCAAACGTACCATTAATTTCAACAAGTTGATTGTGAAGTTGCTTGCGTTTTTGCATTTCCGAGCAATAACGTCCAATGAGAACGCGGAAAAAGTCGACTGTTTTCGATTCAAGCATTAGTCGCACCTGAAAGTTCGGACAAGTGACCGAATAGAACAATCTTCCTCGTGGGACTTACCTCTCCCATACAGACCGAGAAGGCTTCTTTAGTGTCCATGGCCAATTGGCGTAACTCGTCCTGAATGCATAAGTTGCCTTTCAAATCTGAGAAACCAATGAGTGTGGCTGACCTTTTCCCTTTTCAGGTCATCTGCAAGCCGTTTCAGTTTCTTTAGATGACCATCGTCCTTGATAGTTTGTGCCATTTCACGGTAGTTAACGTCTCCAATTGGCGAGGGCTGAAAATGTTGTGCTTCAGTTCAGTCCACTCTGATCATATGGGCGGAGACAGCTAGTTGCCAAAGACTCCTGTGGGAAACTCAAAAATTGCTCGTCAAGTGCTGTACAGAACAAAGGCTTTTTCGCAGGTTTTTGGTCGTTTAACTTCGCTTCTCGTCATTTTCCCCACTATATAGCAGCCCTTCTTGTTTTTTAGCAAGTACCAAATTACTGTGTTCTAGGCCTTTGAGGCGGCCCAAATTTTCGGTCTGAAGCTACATCGATTAGGAGCCATTTTGTTCAGAATTCGAAATGCTTAAAAATGAAAAAAATTGTAAAATTTGGCTCACCTGACTCGAAATCGATCTTCACTGGACGGAATGTCACTTTCATAGTCTTCGTCCTCGGTCAATTGTGACAGTCGAATGCTCTTGTGGGCATCGGCTAACGCCACCTTGAGCCTCATATTTTCATCTCGAAGAGCGCCGAAATCCAACGACAGAACTGAAATCCCTTTGAGAATTTGCGAGCTCGGGATATACGTGCTGGCCCGACCTGAAATCTCCCCCTGAATTACGTTTAGAGTATGCTTTCTACGGGGTTGAGCGGGTAAGTGTAGTGAGCGGTGTGGTGTTAGCCGTGCCAAAGAGAAGCCGGAAAGGATGTGCTACCGTAAACCGTCCAACTTCAGTGCAAGTTCGGGAAACGTTGTTAGTGGAAAAGCGAGTCAGTAACTGAAAAGTCTAAGGTAAGCTAGATTTCATAACCATATTTCAGCCGCATAAAACAGAACAAGTCGATGTCAAAATAGGTGAAAAGCAAGCAAAAAATCGTGCCGTGCACGAATTAAGTACGAAAACTCGTGCCATTCAAGAATTACACGTTTCGCGCTCGTTGGGAGAAAAGCGCCGATAATTTCCACGGATTAGCGCCTTGGTCTGTTATAGTAATCATCGCTGATTCCATAACGAGCCCCACTCAACCAAAAGTTCACGAAGAAATGGTCCCCAGCGCCAATTAAAACACGAAAAGCAGAGTGATAATAACGACACAGCTGGTGGCTGTTGATGTCTGCTGTGCAAACTAAAAAAGCCTAGACATTATCAGCAGAGGAATAAGCAGTGGCGTGGGTTCGAAGGCACAATCCACTTGGTTGTGTGGGCGGAGTCAGGCCTACCGCTAAGCATTCGGCGCGCCTCTTTGCTTGAGCGCCTCAGGAAGGAGAGTTGTGAAACTGGGGGAATCCCAGAGTTCATTCACTCATTTTTTTGTCAACAGTTGGTAGTGAGGTGACTCCCACCCTAAAGCTTCATTTCTCCAATCTCGGCCTCTCAAAATCGCAGGCTACTGAACACACCATTGCAGACGGATCCCCCCCCCCCTCAAGGCCAATGAAAAGGCTCCAGAACGATTACATACTGTTAGAAAACTAGCAAGGTTTTGGGAAAAAAGCCGACTCGAGATGGCTATCATTCGGTGCTAGAAGGGCGCTGGGGACCAATTCCTCGGCAATGAAAAGTTATGGAACTCAATTTTGTGACAAATTGTCAATGAAAGCACGTGCCCGAATTGAACCCCAAATCGCATTTACCTTGGATGAAGTCTTCCATGTGTGTGATTCTGGTCTCTTGCTCGTCGATTATGTCCTCCAAATTCCGAATAAGGCGATCTTTTGTCTAAAACAGTCCCTTTTAGCCAGCTATCTCAGGGTCAGAACGTAGCCAATGATAAGAATAAAGAGGGGAAAGTATAAGTTACACATTCAGGTCTCTCTCAATCAAGAGAAGAAAAAAAAGTTCAAATGTCACGTCTAAGACACTGCCTTTCTACGTGAGTCGTGTGGGCGGGGCCAGGCCTGCCACCACTTCGTCAAGTGGTGTGCCATTTCCTTTCACCCCTTTACCATCTCTGCACCAGCATTCCGCACCAAACATGCATGATAGTCGTGGTCAGAAAACAAAATTAGAAGCACATCAATTGGGAATCCCC